GCAGGCATCTGTAGGCCTCGTCACAGCAGACGCGCGCTTCCGCTTCAAGGCCGCTAGGACAAAGGTTTGCAGTTCCGGCTGGCCTTCTCCCACTGGTGTGCATGCCCCTGTCCCTGACTCCCCGATGTGGGTTGGTGGCCGAGAAGTTTTTTTGGCAGAGCGCGGTGTTGTTAGTCCGCAGTTCGTAAAAAAAAAGCCCACCTGCATGCGTCCTGGCCGGTCAGCATGGCCTCGTCGACAACCTCCCCGCGCTCCCAAACCAACACCAAACACAAACCAAGCCAGGAACGGCTGCAATGCACACATCAGCAACGAAGTCAATGTTGGTTTTGATGTCACGGACCGTGTTGACATCTTCATCTGTTGAGAACAACACATGCAAAAATAGTGCATGCCGGGACCGGTTGGCCCACCATGGCCCACCTGTGTCGCAAGATATTGTGCGCAGGGCACTCAAATATGCGCCAGCTGCCTGCTGTGGGCTTCATGGGCTGACGCATTTTGTGTTGTAGTCGGTGGCAACCTCCACTTTGCACATGAAGTCGCCGGTTCTTTCGCCTCTGACCGGTCACTCATTGGCAATCAGCACATGACGCCCGCGCCTTGCTTTCTGCCAGCAAACCAGCTCGAAGAAGACCCCGCATGCATCGTGGGAGGTCCGCACCCATGCCGAGGCCAATGGGTGGGCGAAGGCGCGGGGCGGTTGCCACAAGGATCGAGGTGCGCGCGGTGCGCTTCCCCGCGAGCCAACCATGTGTTACGCACGGTCCCTCCGCAACTGACAATTGCGTATGCCCGCTCTCACGACCAGGCCGTCTGCGAGACTCTGCCGGGAGCGACTGCGCGTTCGCAGGCACGGCAGGTCGAAACAGCGTTGCGACAGATTCGCAGAGGAGTCGCGCCCGGGTTGTTGGGCAGGCGGGCCGAACAATTGAAGTTCCTTCTCCAGGATGTGCAGGCAACGGAATTTTGGCTAAAAAAAACCTGGCTGCCTCTCTGCGCGGTTTCGGGCGCCACACGTTTGGCGCAGGCGCGAGCTCCCAAGAGCGTGTCACGGGCCTTCGCCACGGCAGGGTGTGTGCGAGGGATAGTGACGGGCGACTGGCTGGCGGTCTGCCGCGAGGCGGTGGGAGCGGAAGGGACATGTTGTACCCCAAGCAGCGGCTGTCGCACACGTCGGCGCCAGGAGTCCCGACGTCAGACCGCCGACGCCTCGACCTAGAGTGGTGTACGGCGCATCGCCCCAGGGCTTCGCCCTGTGTTGCGATGCCACGCTGGTCAGCCCCATCACCGCACCCCTCGCCCACGAGCGGAGCAGACTCCAGGCATCGCCTTGCGCATGGCCGAGAGCCGCAAGTGCTCCGGGTCCGGGCTCTCCGTGCGCCACCCGCACTCCGTGCTGCTGCCTCCGCTGCCTGGACACCCAGGTGGTGGGGCATACTGTCGACTGCAGTGCAGCACGCCGTTGGCGGCACGGCCCTGGGAGCGCCGTGGCTGGTCTCCAAAGGCGCCGCTGCCTGCGAACCTGGCTTGGACCACGTGCTGGCGCTCGCTGAGCCTGCTGGCCCGAGCCACCTCCCGCTGCGTTGAGCGCGGGACGCGCCCATCCCGATGGGCCGCACGACTCCGTCATATACGCGCAGCCATCTGCTTCGCCGTAAAAAAAAACTTTTTCCGCCGCCTGGTTTCCTTCACGCTCGCAAAGGAATGGGCAACGACCTTCGAGCAGTCTACGCGACCATTCCTTTTGGCGCTACAAGCGCGGGCTGACACTGATGCTGTTTGCGGCCCCCGCTGTGCCGTTGACTGCAGCCTACCGTCGCTGCGAAAGGTGCCAGCGCTCGTTGGGGGACCACGTCGCTGCATGCCCTCGTTCCGGCGTTTTGCGTGCGAAAAGTGCTCCATTAAATTGTGCTGCAGCGCATTTTTGCCATGAAGTTGGTGCCACTGTGGAAACACACGTCTCGGTGCGGGACCGCAATGCCGCCGACCCCCAACAACATGACCGCCGCATGGAGGTCACAGGGATCCAGGTTGCGGTCGACACCACCTTCGCCATACGACGAGCCCCGGCGTGAGGGCAGGCGTACTGCGGGGCTGCGTTGCGCCACATTCGCCAAGCTGAAGAGCGCAATGGTCAAAAACTCTGCCATTCAGGCCGCTGCCGCATTGTCGTGCCCAGCCTGTTACTTTCTTCCGACTCCTTGCCCGCTGCGACCGGCCTGCGCTCCCACTTTGCCGATGCAAAAGCCCTCGCGACCAGCTCCCTTCCCTGCCGTTTACCGGTGCAGCAAATGTCGATGGAGACCCTCCTTTTCTCAGCGACCTGACATGATTTTTTGCATCTCCGTAACCTAGCCCCGGATTTGGGGTGCCGTCCAAGGACCGCGTGAACTGAAAACAAGAAGGAGTACAACTGTATCGGAGCCATGGACCCTTTGGGCGACCATGCCCTAGCTTGTCCAAGGTCAGGCTTGCTGGCCAGACGTGCGAAGGTCGTAGAGCACGCCTGGGTCCGTGTGGCGCGCGAGGCCGTCGGAGCCGAAGGGCAGGTCGTGCCACAACAGTGGCTCGCCCACACAACCGTCACCGGCGTCTCGGCCGAGGACCGCCGGCGCCTCGACCTTGCCGTCTACGGCGCCACTGCCAACGGCGGAGCGCTCTGCTGCGACTCTACCCTCGTGTCCCCCCTTACGAGGACAGGGCACTCCCATCCGTGCACGGTGGAGGTGGACGGGGCGGCGCTCAAGGTAGCGGAGCGTCGCAAATACAGCAAATACCCGGAGCTCGCGAAAGGCGGCCCGCAAAAGTTGCTGGTGCTCGGCTCGGAGATATAATAGGCCGCTGGAACGTGACGGCGCAGCACTTCGTTCGCGACCTCGTTCGCCTCCGAGCCCTCCGCGCACCGCCCGCAGTGCGTAACGCCGCGTCCTCAGGCTGGGCGCGACGTTGGTGGGGCGCCTTGTCCGTCGCGGTCCAGCTCGCCGTGGCAAGCACAGCCTTGGGGCGCTCGTGGCCGGCAGCTCCTGCGCCGGTGCCGGGCGACGGCCCAGCACTGGACCGTGTGCTTGACCTCGCCGCGGATGACGGGCCAAGCCGCCTGCCATTGCGGCCCTAAGCCGGGACCGGTCCTAGATGCCGTAGGCGTAAAGTAGCTGAGACGATTTCTTGCAGGCGGAAACGGAAAAAAATACAACTGTATCTGAGCCAGCGGCAGAACTGCTCCGTGCTTGCTTTAGCACCTTGGAAGCTTTGGCTACAGGACCGCCGGTCAACGCGGCATCCAGCCCCATTACACCACCGCCAAGAGACCGCAGCCGCAGCCGCAGCCCGCCGCCGCCCCGGCGCCTCCCGACCCCCACGCGCGTGCCCCAACCCCCCCGCACCCACCGTGCGGGAACCAAGCACCGCCAGTCCAAGGGCCAATCCAACAGGCGTTAGTGAGGCGCCGACTCTAGCAGGCCTCATGTTGGCCAGACGTCGCTTGTGCCACCGTTGGAGCAGAACCACTGCGTGCGAAGCGAACGAAGAGGCATGTCATTGTGCTTTTTGTTTGTGCGAGGCCGCAGCACACCAATGCCGACTACACCGCGACCAGGAGCGGGCTCTCATACAGGCCACTCGCTCCAACCTTGAGTGCGCCCCCTTGAGTCGGCTTTCATCATCACTGGAGCCAACGGCAGCAATCATTGGCAGTGCGGCCGCACGCAGTTTGCCACTCCGGCGCCTTTTTAAACCGGGCACGCCGCCAAGCGGCAGGCGGCCCAGAAATGAAGCGCCCATGCACCGGAAAAACACTTGCTGCAGATTGTTCCCTCGAAGCCTGTTGGAGAGGCCTCTACCCCAGGGCCCCGCGATTGCAGGATCAGCAAGCACGAGCGCTTGAAGCGTTGTCACGTGTCGGCACGCCGTACAACTGGCCGAGGCAGGAGGGGCCGTGGCGGCAAGGGGAGAGGGCGCCGGCGCACACGCGTGCCACCCGGAGTGGAAGCAGCACCTTGTGGTGACACAGCGGACGCGGGAACCCGGGCGCCGGCTCCGCCTGTACAAACGTTCCCTGCGGCGGGCGCGGGCGCTTTCGCGTCGGACCTTGGTGCAGAGTTGAAACGGCGCGTATACTGCGTATACACGCTACAAAGCCCTCCGCCGCACATCCGGGGCGCCCTACGCCAAGCATTGTGGGCGGGGCTCGAAATGGTGCGGGAGGCGCCGCACCAAGAAGCGGGATGGAAGCTTTCCTTGTTGGCACCACGCATGTTCTTGTACCGGGAGAGAGGACAAACACGGGTCACGCCGCAAGAGTTAACAAGGCGGGTCGACCTCTTGTCTCAAGATCGCTGGGATGAGCTACTGTGCCAGGCCGCCCAGGCCGCCCAAACGGAGCCATTTTGGCTCAAGCCAGTTTAGCTCAAGGCCATTTTGGCTCAAGTCAAACAAGGTAGATTTGTGCCCCCACGGTTGCTTTGGGCCCCTCGTGAGGATCTCCTAGTCTCGCCATTTTCGCTCCCGGTGTTCGTGCCTGCGTGCGTCCGGTACCTGCCCTGGGACAGTCTGGCCCTGCCGTGAGTGCATCCAGTCCCCCTGGGTTCAGACCGTCCGGCTCCGCACTTTCCCCCGCGCACCACTCGCTCGGCTGACCGCGAGCGCCCTCTCTCGCCGCCGCAGGCGTTGCTGCCCTTTCTAGTGGCCTTGACCCCCCGGTCCCGCCCGGGCGACCCTGCGGGTAGTGTTCGGGAGTTTCCAGGCCTTAGGTCCCCCTTGCCTGCTGCCTCGCCTTCCAATGGCTGAGACGCCCCCTGACTCCCCCGGCGACGCTACGCCTGCCACGCCTGCTTCGCGGCACGACCCTCAGCAAGTCAGCATGGTGACCGTGCCGGAGTCGCCGGCTGCAGCACCGACCACGCCCCCTTGGCTTCTAAGCAATACGGCGCCCTCGCCGCCAGCATGCCCTTCCACGGATGCGTGCCCGGTTTGCCTTTGCGAATGCCCTTCGCACGCCCATGGCCCGGAAAGCCCCTTCCACTGGCCTTCCTGCGGCCACGCGCTGCATCTGGGTTGTGTCGCCCACCTTGTTGCAAACGTCCGGGAGCTGCGATGCCCTACTTGCCGAGCACCCTGGCCGCCCCAAGCCGCCACTTGATTCCCGCCCACCCGCCGCGCCTGCAGCGCCTGCCGGGACCACTCCGCTGCCAGCCGAGGCGGCTTGGTACAACCAACGCCCCCCAACTGCACTAGCGGTTGGGCAGACGCACAGCTGGCTTTTCGTTCCTCCGCTGCATGCCGCCGTCGGCCGCCTGCACAGCGACGCGCTGGACGCTTGGCAAGCCCACCCCGACTTCGCCCCAATATGGCAGCGTGCCCTCCACACCTTGCGCCAGGCTCCCCTGTCGAGCCGGCCGCGCTGGTGCACGCGTTGCACACCCTGCAGCAGCTTGCTACCGAAGAGGGGCGGGCTCTTCCCGTGGTTGAAGCACAAATCTTGCTGGCCCTGGCAGCAGAGTCCAATGCGCTACCCCAGAACACGCTCGTTCACTTACCCTGGGCATGGCAACTCGCTGCACTTCCCGACGGATACATACCTGCCACGGTTCAGGAAGCGCTGTTGCACGTGTTCATGGGCGAACGGGAGGCTTCAGAGCTTCTGAGAGCTGTCGACGCCCTGACCCGGCCCGGCCCGCCCGCTCCCCCGCCACCAACATGTCCCCAGGCCGAGCATCCCACAGTCAATGCTGGAGGCGCCCCGGAACAGCAGGACCCACCCGAGCATTCCTCCAGCAGCAGCTCCAGTAGCTCCTCGGCATCTTCCAGTTCTGAGGCTGGCGAGGGGCCTGCTGCCCGCCAGGTGCACGGAGAGTTTGACACACTGCAAGGCCCGCAGCTGCGGGCGGCTTTGGCCAGTTTGGACCCTGTTTCGGTCGAAGACGTTCTTTTGCAGCCTTGCCAGATGTTCCGCACTCCGCCCGCCTTTTGCAAACCCCAGCTGCGCCGTGCACTACGCTGGGTGCTCCGCCTCATTCGCGACGCTACGGGCCTGGCCCCACGCCAGCCACACTCTCTTCCCCTGCTGTGGAGCGCCCATGGAAGCTGTGGCTCCTCATGCCGCGCATGTTATTGTTCCGGCCTGCTGGTACCGACCGGGTCCCCAAGCCGGTCGTCCTTGCCAGGTTTTCAGCATTTTTCCGGGGGGAGTGGGAACCCCTGCTCGGAGCTGCTCTCGCTGAAGCGCGGGCATCGACCGGCGCCGCACCGGGCCCAAACACTGCCACTGACTTGCCTCGCCGGCTGGAGCGAGCAACCCGGTTGGCGCATGCGGGTGAATTGTCCGCTGCCCGTCAGGCCCTCACTGCCGAGCCCCCTGCCGCCCCAACTGAGGCCACACTGAGGGAACTCACCGACCCTGCACGCCGGCCAGCGGAGCCTTACCGCCCGCTCCCGCAAGATCTCCTTGAAGCCGCTCCGAATGCCCCCATTGCCCTTGACCGCCCTGCGCTGCTCGCGAATCTCCGACGAGCGCGCCGGGCTGCTGCACCAGGCCCCAGTGGCTACACCTCTGAAGTCCTTCGCTTGGTGTTGGACGAGGAAGAGGCATCGCAGCTCTTCTGCGAAGTTGCTTCCCTCCTCGCACGTGCACAAGTGCCGCAGTCGACAATTGCAGGCCTTGCCCTGGGGCGCCTCGTCGCCATCAGCAAGCCTAGCGGAGGGACGCGAGGGCTGGTCGTTGGTGACACGCTACGACGACTCGTAGCCAGGACCATTGCGCAGCAATTTGCGGCACAATTCGAGGATTTGTGCAACCCACACCAGCATGCCCTTTCCACGCGAGCCGGCGCTGGTCCACACCTTGCAAGCAC